CTTAAACCTGGGAGGTTGCGGTGAGCCGAGATTGTGCCATTGCACTCCAGCCTGGGTGGCAAGGCGAGACTGTCTCAAAAAAAAAAAAAAAAAAATTGAAAACAATCCAGAAAACATGCTTTCATTTCAAACTCAAACTCTCAATGAAATTATTTCTAAGAAAAAGAAAAGCAGTCACCAGGTGTTAAGTCTCTCGGCTTTTCTGCTAGTTCTGGTTGAGGTAGAAGAAATAAAACTAGAAGGAGAAGAGGAAGATGGAAAAAAAAATAGACATTCTGCCCTCGAATTACCAGAATTAATTGAACTATTCATTTCCTTCTCTATCAGTTTCAAACCCAAGTTGCAGTAATGAGAGAGTCACTTACCAACAGATGGGGCTGAAATAGATCTCTGGAGATCTCCTGGATGTCGACTAGGAAAATAATCTCCAAACAGCACGTTTCCACTCTTTTCACATTTCTTTAGCAGGTGTTTATGTCTACCCAGCAGGCAAATAACCACTTAGTAAAAGAAGCGCAGTCCAGGCTGCTCTGGGCATTGTTCTATTGCTGCTGCATCATAATCATAATGTGCTGACATAGTCTCGCAGTAAGAGAAGAAGGGCACTGGGGAGGAGCAGCCCTGCAGGTCTGCCCCTGAGAGGAAGTGTGGTCAGCATTCCCGTGGAGCCCCGACCACTCGGGAGTGGGCATTCAGGTGGTGGTGTGAAGTTTCCAGAAGATTTCTTGGAGAGAAAAGTCAATTTAGCAACAGTATAACCACGGAAAAAATATCATATTTTACATCATTGACCATTCAATTGATAATTTATTATTCAATTTCCCTATATCCTAAGTTTCACAGACTTAAACGTATTTAAGGCACTTTGAGCCTCTGTGAAGAAAAGCATCAAAAGAATATAGCATTTTTAGAGGGAAACTGCTTAGAAACAGAGCTGAGGCCGGGCACAGTGGCTCACGCCTGCAGTCCCAGCACTTTGGGAGGTCAAGGCAGGAGGATTGCTTGAGCCCAGGATTTTGAGATCAACCTGGGCAACACAGTGAGACCCCATCTCTAATGAAAGAAAGAAATGCTTTTAAAGATGCACAAAATATAAAACTGTATGTATAACTTCATTTGGAGAGTGTAAGTCTGAATTTGTGGCACTTTGTCAAATTGAGGTCTGTGAGCAATTAGCCCTCTTTGTCCCTCATGAGATGGGCCTGCCTGTTCACGCCTGCATAGGATCTTCTTAGCTGCATGTCCTAAGCTTGGGATATGAAGGTTTCCTGCCACATTCAGTCCCTGGTGAGTGCAATGCAAGGTACATTCTTTCAGTCGGCTCAGTAATGAGTACTTACTATTTCCTGTGCATCATGCCATGCTGGACCACAAAGATGAACAGTCTCTGGACTCAAGAAGTTTACCATCAAGTGGAGAAGGGGTCATGTAAACAGAGTATTTCATTGTTATGTAGTGATAAGATGGAGGGGTGACAGGGGATTCTGGGAGCACAGATGAAGGGTACTTAGTCCAATTGGGGGATTTAGGGAGAGTTTCATGGAGGAGCTAATATCCAAGCTAAATCCTGAAAGATTGGTCAGCCTGAGCAAAGGCACAGAGGCATGAAATGACAGGGTTTTGAGGGGTAACTACAAATGGTCTGGTGTTACATAAAGTTGAAGAGGAGAAAAAAAATGAAGTTCATGGAAGAAGGGCCTAGATTGTGGAGGGCTTTGAAAGCCATAACTAGGTGCTGAGACTTCATCTGCTCCAGTAGTTCTAATAAATAGTGTTACATGGAGAGATTTATGTTCTGAATTGATTATTCTGAGAGCAGAGTGGAGGATAGATTTGGGAAGGGCAATTCTGGAGATACTAAAGCCATGGTAGTGGCAGTGGCAGTGTCAATGGAAAGGAGGGGGTTAACTTGGGAACTATTAGTAGAGTCCATAGAATTTGGTGACTCACTGATGTGGGGAGGGAAAAGGTGACTCAGAGTTTTGGGAAGCTGGGTGAATGACGACGGTGCCCTTAACTTGGAAACAAACTACAGGCAGAGGAACAGGTGTAGGAGGCAGAAAGAATGAGGTGCTTGTTTGCAGGAAACCTTGGTTAGCATGGTGCCTCATATTAAACTGTTTAGTAAATGATTTCTTTCTTCTTTAAATGTTCAGTACCTTCCTAATGCTTTTAGAATATGTGACATGTATCATAAGGTATGTGTATATATTTAGTATTAAACTCAAGAGCCTATATATTTGTGAGCATGATCTGGCTCCATCCTGGCTTCAGTTCTTTCCAACTATATTTCAGACCACTTACACCACTCCCTCATCATACTTCTGTCTCCTTCCTGATGTTGCATTCTTTAAGCCATTTCCTGTCTGAAAAGCTCATCTCCCAGCTCTTCACATGTGGGCTTATTTTCGTTTTTCAGAACCCAGCTCAGATGTCACCTGTTTAGAGAGCTGTTTCTCAATCACTTGGTCATTGATTGTCTCTCAGCTGCAAATGCACCACAGCATACTCTGCATTGAATTGCTGGAGCTCTGCAAACTACATTTCTCTCTCCAGCTAGCTTTCTGTTAGGTTCAATAATAGGTTGCATTAGACCAGAGGAGGCTGGAAAATAGGAGGGAAGAAAAGACTTGTGTTCCCTCTAGTTGACCTGCTGTTTCTCTCAGTGTCACCTGGGCAACAGCAACTGGTTCTAGCCTGCATTTTGGTTGTTTTGTTTTTGTTTTTGACATTCTCAGAATCAGCAATTGGGCAGCGCCCTCTCCTTAGAGGGCTGAGTCCTGGCTCCAACGGGTCCGACCTCTGAGCTTCCAGGCTGTGATTCCCCTAACCTATCCCTTCCAACTCCGCAGCCCTAGTTGTGGGAGTTGCTTCTTCTAGTTGTCTCTGATATCTGTGTTTCCTTTGTGCTTTTTTTCTAGGCCTCCAACACCTATTTAACATATTCCTGCATTGAAGTCTCTCTGTTGAAATACTTAATGTGATTTCTGCTTCTTTAAAAATGGCTGGATCCTGACACAACCACTGAATCTGATTGAGGCTTCCACCCAGTCACTGTCTAACATGTCATTGAATGTTCTTCACATACTTTTCCTAACCTGCATTTAAATTGTTTTCCTTTCTCATAATCTCTCTTCTTCACTTAGATATCTGAGACTGTCTCATTCATCATTGTATTCTCAGTGCCTAACATGGAGCCTGGCATACTGTAGGAGCTTAAGAAATGCTTGTTAAATAAAATGAATGATTTCAAAAGACTGCAGGAGAAATACTGGTAGCTGGCCACACAAAATGGACAGGATTGAGCAAGTCTTTAACTTTTTGGTTCTAGGCCAAGTTATTGATGAATTCTGTAACAACGTAACACAGAGAGTCAAGCATAATGCTTCTTATAAACATGTCAGAATGCAATGCATTATTTAATGTAGACCCATCCTCATTGGAATAACAAGACATACAGTTTATTTACTTTGAATCCTATACTTGTATAACCCCCTACCCCACTTTCTATAATTGGGAATGATAATGACTTACATTGTTAGGGTTTCATGAAGATCAAGAATTGCTAACAGGTTAGATCTACAACATTTTTTGATTAGCAAATAATTTTAAATATGAAAGCCATCCAAAAGAATCTACCTGCTGTAACATGCAACATCACCAAGCATTTACTTGATAAACATCGCCAGCTTATGTTCTTTTTTTCATTCTGGTATGATTTGAAACAACCAAAACACAGAACCAAAAAATCTGGTTAAAAAGGAACTGCTTAACTTTTACACAGATATAATCAAAACCTGAAAACATCTTCTATAGCCTTTTATGTAAGTATCAACTACTAAGACAAAAAAGACTTGTAATATGCTTCTTATATAATTTTAGTCAAATAAATGCAAATAGATTAGATAAAATTGATGTCCACGGTGCCAAGTAGAAATATTTTGTTGAACTTTAACATTTAAATGACATTTCCCCTGTTTCCACTTCAAGTGTGTTCATATCTTCTCCTTTTTCTAACTCAGAAGGAAAAATGTTCCTTTTCTTTCCCAGCTGAATTGGGCCACCAGGGTCCTTAAATCCAGCCCTTCTTTCCTCTTCTTTCTCCTTTTAGGATACTACTCTTGCATTGTTAATATGCCCACCACTGTTGTTTCTTTTTCAAAACCCACAAACCAAATCTTCCCTCCACTTTGTTATCAGTTCATGCTACTATTTTGTCTTTCTTTTTTCACACACAAATTCAGAAGAATTCATGTTCACAGTTTCTAGATTGTAATCTGGCTTTTGCTCTTAACCCACTACTAAAAGTGCACTCTTAGAGTTCACAAATAATTGCCTAATCAATAAGGCTTTTTGAGCCTTCATTCTTCTTTGTATTTCTTTTGCATTTACAGTTGATCCTTCTTGAGACTCTCTTTCTTGGTTTGTGGGACCCTGCACTCCTTCTCTTCTCTTCTACAAACTGTTTTTCCCCTGATGCCATTCATGGCTTTTTCCTCCAACACCCCAAGGCCTGTTCTCTTCTCTTGGCAAGGCTTTTCTTGATAATCGTTTCCATCCACCCTTGCATTTCAGATGCCACCTTTATGTGAATGATTCCCAAGGTTGTATCCAGTCAGTAACTCTTCTGTGAACCCCTAACCTGTACTTTCAAATGCCAGTGGGACATGTCTATCTTAGCACTCCTGGCATCTCAAACACATGCCCAAACTCAACTCCTCCATAAAACTCATTTTTTCTTTCTTTTTGTTAATGTTTAACATTTTCTCAGTCAGCCAAGAGGGGAGACTTTGAATCATCTCTCCCTTCTTTAACTTCCTTTCCAAAACTTGAAATCAGCCATAAAATTCTTTCCATTCTTTTCTCTCCAGAGATGTATCCATCTGTTGGGACCTTCCCATCACCTCTACCCCCTCACCTGCACAATTGCTATAACTTAACTGGTGTCTTTCATTTATTTCTCTCCATTCTAGTCTATCTGCCTGAAGGCTGCCAAAGCATTTTCCCTAAAAGGATATCTCTGATCATGATACATCCCTGATCAAGAATCTCTAATGGTTTTATTGTCTCTAGAATAAATCTAGACTCTTAATTTGGTACTTAAGAACTTTAATACCAAATAACTTTAATAATTTTTGGGCCTTAAATCAGTACTTTTTCAGTCTCCCAAACATCTTATACCTATTTTGTTTCTATAACTTAGGAGTTTAAGAAGATAGACTGTAGGCTGAGTGTGGTGACTCATGCCTGTAACTCCAGCACTGTGGGAGGCTGAGATGGGCGGATCACTTGAGCCTAGGAGTTCAAGACCAGCCTGTCTCTGCAAAATGCCAAAAAAATTAGCCAGGTGTGATGGGTAGTCCCAGCTACTCAGGAGGCTGAGATGGAAGGATCACTTGAGCCCATGGAGGTCAAGGCTGCAGTAAGTTGAGATCATGCCACTGCACTCCAGGCTGGGCAACAGAGTGAAACCCTATTTCAAAACAAAGCAGAACAAAACAAAACAACAACAACAACAAAAGAAAAACAGAATATAGGTGGGGCATGGTGGCTCATGCCTATAATCCCAGCGGATCACCTGAGGTCAGGAGTTTGACACCAGCCTGGCCAACATGGTGAAACTCCATCTCTACTAAAAATATAAAAATTAGCTGGGCATGGCAGTGCATGTCTGTAATCCTATCTACTTGGGAGGCTGAGGCAGGAGAATCGCTTGAACCCAGGAGGTGGAGGTTGTAGTGAGCTGAGATTGCGCCAGTGTACTCCAGCCTGGGTGACAAGAGCAAGACTCCATCTCCAAAAAAAAAAAAGAGTACAGACTGTAGAGTCAGATTGCTGAATTTGAATCCTTGCTTTCTCTCCTACTATCTATGTGACCATGGACAAGTTTCTTAATCTCTGTGCCTCAGTATCCTCATCTGTAATACAGGAAAACCAATGCTTATAGGGTTGTGAAAATTAAACATATAGAAAGTATTTAGGATAATGCCTGGCGTACAGTAAGTTCTACATAATGTGTTTTATTGAGAAAATATTTACTGATGCTTGTATATATGCACATATGCCAGAGACTCTTCTAGGAATTTGGGGATAACAGGAATGAACATAATAAACAAAAATCTCTACCTTTGTGGAGCTTAATATATGACAAGCACTGCTCTCAGCACATTTCATATGTTTAATTTCCACGACAACCCTATAATTGTTGTTCTTCCTATATTACAGGTATAGAAATTATTCTATAATAATTATCATTAATTACCTGTCATTCTCTGTTTTTGGAATACCCTTTTTCCTGTGCTATCATCTTCAGAATTCTACCATCCTTCAAGACGCAATAACATCCGCTGGGCATGGTGGCTCACAACTGTAATTCCAGCACTTTGGGAGTACGATGCAGGAGGATCACTTGAGGCCAGGGGTTCGAGGCTGTAGTGCACTATGACCATTCTACTGCACTCCAGCCTGAGCAGTAGAGCAAGACTGTGCCTCTACAAAAAAAAAAAAGACCCACTAACATGCCATCTTACTCCTTGAAATCTCATCTGAATTCTTCCAGCCCTTAGAATCTGTATTATGGCATTTATCACATTCTATACACTCTACTATCTATTATCAAATATATTAAATATTGTGGTTATTTGCATGCATTTTTGTTATCTCCCTAATGAAGTGTGATGTCAGGTGCTCTGCCCTATTCATGTTTGTAAATAGTAGCATGATGTACTTTGTACCTAAGAACACAGTAGCTGCTTAACAAATACTTCTTGAATGCATGTACATAAAAGGATTCTTTGCATACTCTCTCATTTGACCTCTATTAACTTACCTTATCTTCTTCAACTGTAAATATGAAATGAAAATATCACATATCAGTATCACATATTTGTTTACTATTTGGCCTTTACTTACCATCCCTTGACATTTTGTTTACTAGTAGGCCAATTTTTGTAGTTTGCTTTCCTGAGCACATTTTATAGTATATTTAACATCTTTCTGTTACTACCATTTGAAAAGTGCCCCTAAGTTTTTATTAAAGGAGTCATTGTGGATAGAGTATATTTTACCTATTGTGTTTTCAATGGTCAGCACATATATTTTTTCCCATTTCCTTACTAACACAGTTGAAAAATTTCAAGGTGCTCATCTGTAATTTTTTGGTTCATTGCTTATTTTTTTCTCCATTTCAAAGAACTGTAGATGTTTGAAATTGACTTTTATGGCATCTAAAATATGAATTTTTTTCCAAGTCATTAATACCCTTCCTCTAAATTTGCTTGCTATTCTCCAGCTATGACTGGAAAGACCAGACCAACTACAGGTTCTCCTACCTTCTCATCTGTATTTTCACATGCTACAGATCATAATGCTATGATCACATTTTTTCCCAAACATTGTAGTAAGATACAGAGTTACAATATACCATATTTTAAATCTTCTTGGTAGGCCATCTTAACTATTCCTTTTATTAGGCAGAACCCTATCAGAATGGCATGACATTCTTCTCTTTTTTAATAACGAGGCCAACACATTACATTTTTAAATAATGATCAAGGAATTTTTTTTATTCATTAAGTTTCAGTATCATTACAGAAAATGTTATGATACAGAGTTGTTTAACATTATTTTGTCTTTGCTCTTGATTTCCACATGAATGCTGGTAACACTAGTATCTGTACAAGATCAGTCTTTGATTTTATTTTTTTGTTCTGTACAATTTTAAATGTATTGGTTAAAAAGGCTGTCAGCACTTAAGGAAGCATTTTTTCTTCAGTTTGTTTGTTCAAATAAAAGGTGTCCAGTTACTGCCCAAGAGTACTGTGCCATGAGGCTATTGGGGCGAGAAACCTCCCTGGATGCTCTGCAGGGGATGGTTCTTGAGGCAAGGCAGAGCCTCCCTCTGCCCAGTCAGTCTTCTTTTGGCACTGTGCACATAAACACGAGATACATGAGAAAGAACAAGCAAAAGCTCTCTGTAAAGCAGTTATGAAGCATACTAAGAAGGGAAATCCAAGTATTGCCTACGCTAGTATAAATAAGCAGACAGCCTTGATTTAAGAGCATAAGTAGTTGTATTTTAAAGATGAGAAAAACACAAGTTCTGCAGGCACCTACCGCTGTCTACTAAAAGCTATCGCTATCAGACCTAGCATTGAACACACAAAGCAATTTGCAAGAAAGGAAAAATTTGCCTTGATATAATCAGAATAGAATTGTTTGTTAAGATTTATTTTTAGGTGTTTTTTTCTTTAAAAGATATTTAAATTCATTTGAAATATAGTTCAAGATGTTGACTATACAGATCAACTCTTATCCAAATCGGGAAAACTAGCTGTGCCGTTGCATATTACAGGATACAGTCAATGATATGTGGACATGCATCAAAGCTTTCTCCTGCTGGTGACCATCATAGCCGTCCAATGACCATGACATCCACCACCTCGCCTTTGTGGAGCTCCACATACTGTTCTGTCTTTGGAGGTAGCATCAACAATCCATTGGCACTGCGCATGCTCATCAGACGGCTGCTCATTTGATTACCTAGAAAGAAATACTCTTATTACAGCAGCACAAGCATCATGGCATACACATTTGGGCCCTTGTAGACCTTTTCAAAATGTAAACAGACAGAAATGCAGGTCTTCAAGAGGAGAAGGGATGATCAAACTTTCCATTATCTTTTTCAGGTGGCCATGATACTATATCCTACCACCAGCTCATTCAAACTTTAAAAATAAACATTAGAAATTCTTGTTTGAAAGAGTAAAACCAGGATTTTATAGCATTATGCAAAATGCCACAGAATTTCTCAATTCAGGCTGAAATGTTATGCATGTCTGAAAAGGGAGGCTTTATAAAAACCTATTAAAATAATAATGACAATAATGGTAGCAGCTACCATTTCTTTACTAAGTGCCAAAGTACTAGGCACTTTACTTAAACACCTTATTTGATTCTCACAAGACTCAAAAAATTCTTAGGTAACTTGCCTAGGATCCTGCTAACTAGGTTGGTGGCCAATTTGAATGCAGCTCTCTCTGATGGCAAAGCTCATGAACTTGGTCACTGTTAGCTGATGTTTTCACTTAGTCGTACAATTTTTCTGGAGTCACATCAAAAGTTAGGCAAAATATGACTAGGGAAGTTGGGAATAACAGTTTAAAGTCTAGTGGAGGTCACTATAGAACTCTGAATTATCAATATTGATTTCTCTGCCCTTCAAATTTACCAATAAGTAGGGTATGGTAGAGGCAACAGAGAACCACATTATAAATTGGGCTTTCATCTCACATTTCAAGATGGTATAGCTAGAATCTCCTCCTTTTCCTACAAAGTTATACTCAGAACTTATTGGTTGAACAAACATATCAAATATTCTGTAATTCCAGATTTATTACAGAATATTAATCAATGATCTGTGGACATTCTAAATGTTTATCTAGAAAATATGGCTCAATAAAATAAGTAAACTTCTAATAGTTATTTTTTAACTTTTGCTATACTGTTTAGGAATAATTTGACTCATCTAACTTTTCAAAAGGGAAAATGTATAATAATTACAAAATCAGTTATAACCAAGGAAGATTATATATAAATTTGTGTTTTAACAGGATAGGTGCCTAGGAATATCTGTAGATGTGAATGACTAACCTGTACTCTGTGCCCAAGGTAGTGGTTCTTGGTGATGCCAAGTTAGTATACACCGATGGTATTCTGGACGAGGATCGAGTTTTACATCACATGATAACTACAGAATAAAGAAGAAAAGAAAACAAACTTGGTCACCTGATCATCTGACAAAACTACAAGATGGTAGGGGTTGTGCAAAGAATATACTGGACATGGAGACTATCCTTGGTATTCTGTTGTTGCTATCACTACCACCTTATGTTCTTTTTCTTTTTAAATAACATTCAATTAAAATGTATTTTTTCTTTTGACACAAGGTCTCACTCTGTTACCTAGGCTGGAGTGCAGTGGCACGATCATGGTTCACTGCAGCATTGACCTCCTGGGCTCAAGTGATCCTCCTGCCTTGGCCTCCTGAGTAGCTGGGACCACATGCATGTGCCACCACACCTGACTAATTTTTATTTTTTTTGTAGAGATGGCATGTTGCTATGTTGCTCAGGCTGGTCTTGAACTCCTGAGCTCAAGCAATCCTCCCATCTGGGCCTCCCAGAGTACTGGATTCATAGGCATGAGCCACCATGCCTGGCCACCTTATATTCTTAATACAGAAAGTCCAGGGGTTGGGTTGCTCTGGCGAAAAGAGAAAAGAAGGCTAAGAAGATGGTGTTCAGCTTTGGTTTGTCTGGGAAAGGCTTTATTTCTCCCTTGTTCCTGAAGGATAGCTTTGCTGCATGTAGTATTTCTCGCTGGCATTTTTTTTTAAAACAGCACTTTAAATATATCATTCCCTTCCCTTCTGGCCTGTAAGGTTTCTGCAGATACATCTACTGTTAGTCTAATATGGACTTCCTTGTATGTATGTAATTCTTTGTCTTCAACTTTTGACAAATTGGGAAGGATCTTTTGGGTTGAACATATTTGGAGACCTTTGAACTTCCTGGATCTGGATGTCTATATCTCTCAACAGATTTGGGATGTTTTTCAGCTATTATTTCATTAAATAAGTTTCCTATCCTCTTTCCCTTCTCTTCTTCTTCTGGACTCTGATGATAAAAATATTTGTTGATTTAAATTCAGGAAGTACAGAGAACACCACAAGGATATTCCTCGAGAAGAGCAACCCCAAAGCACATAACCGTCAGATTCACCAAGGTTGAAATAAAGGAAAAAATGTTAAGAGCAGCCAGAGAGAAAGGTCGGGTTACCCACAAAGGAAAGCCCATCAAAATAACAGCAGATCTCTCAGCAGAAACCCTACAAGCCAGAAGAGGGTGGGGGCCAATACTCAACATTCTTAAAGAAAAGAATTTTCAACCCAGAATTTCGTATCCAGCCAAACTAAGCTTCATAAGTGAAGTAGAAATAAAATCCTTTACAGACAAGCAAATGCTGGGAGATTTGCCACCACCAGGCCTGCCTTACAAGAGCTCCTAAAGGAAGCACTGAACATGGAAAGGAATAACTGGTGCCTGTCACTGCAAAAATATGCCAAATTGTAAAGACCATCGATGCTATGAAGAAACTGCTTCAACTAACGGGCAAAATAACTAGCTAGCATCATAATGACAGGATCAAATTCACACATAACAATATTAACCTTAAACATAAATGGGCTAAATGCCCCAATTAAAAGACATAACTGGCAAATTGGATAAAGAGTCAAGACCCATCAGTATATGCTGTATTCAGGAGACCCACCTCACGTGCAAAGACACAAATAGGCTCAAAATAAAGGGACGGAGGAAGACCTACCAAGCAAATGGAAAGCAAAAACAGCAGGGGTTGCAATCCTGTCCTAGTCTCTGATAAAATTGACTTTAAATCAACAAAGATCAAAAGAGACAAAGACAGCCATTACTTAATGGTATAGGGATCAATTCAACAAGAAGAGCTAACTATCCTAAATATATATGCACCCAATACAGGAACACCCAGATTCATCAAGCAAGTCCTTAGAGACTTACAAAGAGATCTAGACTCCCACACAATAATAATGGGAGACTTTAACACCCCACTGTCAATATTAGACAGATCAACAAGACAGAATATTAACAAGGATATCCAGGACTTGAATTCAGCTTTGGATCAAATGGACCTAATAGATATCTACAGAACTCTCCACCCCAAATCAACAGAATATACATTCTTCTCAGTACCACATCGCACTGATTCTAAAATTGACCACATAATTGGAAGTAAAACACTCCTCAGCAAATGTAAAAGAACAGAAATCACAACAGACTGTCTCTCAGATCACAGTGCAATCAAATTAGAACTCAGGATTAAGAAACTCACTCAAAACCGCACAACTATATGGAAACTGAACAACCTGCTCCTGAATGACTACTGGGTAAATAATGAAATGAAGCCAGAAATAAAGATGTTCTTTGAAACCAGTGAGAACAAAGACACAACATACCCGAATCTCTGGAACACGTTTAAAGCAGTGTGTAGAGGGAAATTTATAGCACTAAATGCCCACAAGAGAAAGCAGGAAAGATGTAAAATAGACATCCTGACATCACAGTTAAAAGAACTAGAGAAGCAAGAGGAAACAAATTCAAAAGCTAGCAGAAGACAAGAAATAACTAAGATCAGAACAGAACTGAAGGAGACAGAGACACAAAAAAACCCTTCAAAAAAATCAATGAATCCAGGAGCTGGTTTTTTGAAAAGATCAACAAAATAGATAGACCGTTAGCAAGACTAATAAAGAGGAAAAGAGAGAAGAATCAAATAGACATTAAAAAAAAATGATAAAGGGGATATCACCACTGATCCCACAGAAATACAACCACCATCAGAGAATACTATAAATACCTCTATGCAAATAAACTATAAAATCTAGAAGAAATGGATAAATTCCTGTACACATACACCCTCCCAAGACTAAACCAGGAAGAAGCAGAATCTCTGAATAGACAAGTAACAGGCTCTGAAATTGAGGCAATAATAAATAGCCTACCAACCAAAAGAGGTCCAGGACCAGATGGATTCACAGCCAAATTCTACCAGAAGTACAAAGAGGAGCTGGTACCATTCCTTCCGAAACTATTCCAAGCAATAGAAAAAGAGGGAATCCTCTCTAACTCATTTCATGAGGAGAGCATCATCCTGATACCAAAGCCTGGCAGAGACACACACAAAAAAGAGAATTTTAGGCCAATATGCCCGATAAACATCGATGTGAAAATCCTCAGTAAAATACTGGCAAACCGAAATAGCAGCACATCAAAAAGCTTATCCATCACGATCAAGTTAACTTCATCCACGATCAAGTTAGGATGCAAGGCTGGTTCAACACATGCAAATCAATGAACATAATCCATCACATAAACAGAACCAATGACAAAAACCGCATGATTATCTCAACAGATGCAGAAAAGGCCTTTGACAAAACTCAACAGCCCTTCATGCTAAAAACTCTCAATAAACTAGGTATTGATGGAACGTATCTCAAAATAATAAGAGCTATTTATTACAGACCCACAGCCAAAATCATACTGAATGGGCAAAAACTGGAAGCATTCCCTTTGAAAACTGGTGCAAGACAAGGATGCCCTCTCTCACCTCTCCTATTCAACATAGTATTGGAAGTTCTGGTCAGGGCAATCAGGCAAGCGAAAGCAATAAAGGTATTCAAATAGGAAGAGAGGATGTCAAATTGTCTCTGTTTGCAAATGACATGATGGTATGTTTAGAAAACCCCATCGTCTCAGCCCAAAATCTCCTTAAGCTGATAAGCAACTTCAGCAAAGTCTCAGGATACAAAATCAATGTGCAAAAATCACAAGCATTC